ATATATTTAGGCTGTCCAAACATGTTTTACTATTTTCTATATTGTAAAATTGTTTTTGAAATCATCTAACCAAACAAATTTTTTATCTCAAAAAATATCAAAACCACTTTCTTAAAACTCTTCTCAAGAACTGTTTTCATATACTAATTTTTGAAACGCAAATCAAAGAGACCCTAAAGTTTTCAAAATTTTGTAGTACTAGTGGAGGGTATGATGCTGACAAGTTGATGAGAAGGTGGGAATATAACATGGGAATAGAACACAGAACCTTCTTCCCCATTGTTACTACTAGCAGCAGCCTATATCCATCCCTGAATTATTTGATTCCATAGCTTAGATTATAATGACATGTTTTTGCTTGATCAAGGTCATACTGAAGCACAAAAAGAAGATAATTAATGGGGTTCAGAGAGTGCATCTTTTAGTTTACAATTACAGTAACTGTGATAGCTAGTCAATCTGTTCGAATATNAGTCTCTGATGAAGAATGGAGAATCTCATTTTCAAGAGTGCAAGCATTTATCCACGACGAAGGCATTGTGAGTACACGGAATTCACGAGTCTCGTGTACTGCTCGACATGTGGAGAGATTATTTGTATGACTCGTGACTTCCCTCTAATAAGTTCAGGAANATTGATTGTCATGGTTCAAAAGATCAACCGATAATACTAATGTGACTCGACACTATGTCATATTTGTCTCAGCACCTTTTGTTTAGATAATGTTCCACATTCAAAGAGAACCATGAATCTTACTCAACTTGGTTGAGTCGNATTGATTGTCATGGTTCAAAAGATCAACCGATAATACTAATGTGACTCGACACTATTTCATATTTGTCTCAGCACCTTTTGTTTAGATAATGTTCCACATTCAAAGAGAACCATGAATCTTACTCAACTTGGTTGAGTTGNTACCCTAGCGAATGCCTTAATTCTGTTTGTAACTTTTGGTAACAAGAACTAAAACAACCATGGTTCAAATACTAACACAATTCGATTTAGTCATATTCTCAACTCTGTACCTTTTGAACTGATACTATTCATGTTCTATACGAATCATGAGTCTCACGCGACTCATTTGAGTTGTCAAAGATGTTCTTGAGTCAACTCAAGTCTTTAAAATATCGTAAGTGGATATCACTAATCTAGTGATTCTACAATATAATCTTAATTTCTTGTAAGTCATTCGTTATTGTTATGTGAAATCACGACTAACACCTTTAAGCTCAAAGTCAATAACCGATCCCGCAATCTGTTGCTTTTACTTCGGGGCATAGAGCCCTTATCAAAAATACTGAAATGCAAGATCTCTCCGTCAACACCGCTCACTGCTCGCTCATAATTTCTTTGTGCTCGGGACAGGCGCTCTGCTGATGTGACTGATGGGAGAAATGCTAATGTTGGTTTCACCATCATAGGATGGCCAATTCACCTTTTTTTTTGTTGGTACTTCAAAATAGGATGACTCGGATAACGATAGTCAATATCTAAATTGAAAAAAACACAAATTTAAATACCTTATAACAAAAAAATATATATTTAACTAACTTGTTTACTAATCAATTATTCTAAATTAAATCGAATCGTGGAAAAAAAGCTCTTTTTTTATATTACAATTAAATTATTTATATTTTTCTTTTCTATTCTCCAAGATTAAAATATAAAAAGGGGTATAAATCGAGTTGGATCATTTGGATTTATATTGTATCGCGTTCTTCGTGTTACATTAATGTCAACGGTTAAAATAAGGAATCAGTAAGCAGAAGAAAGGAAGAATGAGTGGGGTAACCTGCAAGGACGCACCCAGAGAAATGCCATCCTACTCAGAGCCATGTTTTTTCATGAATTGTCATTTAATTGGTTCCAAGGATTCAAAGCCTTACATTCCGTGGCTACTTCTACTACTTCTCCTTTGTGATTGAAGTTGTACCAAACTAATTGTTTCAACAAATCAAAACCAAAAACCAATGTTTCGTAAATAATATATTTTAAAATTACTTCATTCTGACGAACATCAACATCTTTTCAAAAATTAGTAAGTTCACGCACATCTGACACTCTTTGAAAATCGTGCCATAAGTGCAACATCTTCCGTTTGTTTGGGTAAAAATGTAAGCTTTAGAATGAAGACCTCATAAGCCGGTAGGAGGGCTCCAAGAGATATTCACCCTCTAAGTTTCAATCGTGTTTTTTTCAGACAAAGTAAAAACATAGGGGAGAGGGAATAGAACTGGAGGTAAGGCATTTGAACCTAAATTTCATTTTAGGATAAACCCCAAGGACCAGACTCAGCTCTAGTCTAGGAATAAACAAAATTAGAAGTAAAACTTTGATAAGGCGATTTGGCTCATATCCTTCAGAACAAAAGGATTTTTAATATACCACTTACCCACTGTTTGGCACCATTAAAGGGTAGAGAGAGAGAGAGAGAGAAACTAATAACAATTCTACTAAACAAATTGCATTATTGTTCTTTCTTACATATACTAATCGCCTTAATATAACTAGATTGCATATCAGCTGGCAGAGACTTTCTCAAATTAGAGGGTGTTGCGTGCAGCATATCAGAGAGAGAGATGGCAAGAGAAAAGCAAAAACATATCTTTGAGGCAGCACACCTTAGGGGGGGCGCTTTCAATTTTCCACAATTGTAACATCATTGGTATGTTGCTGTCCTTGTCAAAAGAGAAGAAGAAAGGAGGGGAGACAGAACACGGCCACTAAGGCCATGTTTGGTTAGCTTTCCAGAAATTATTTTTTGTTTTTAAAATTTTAAAAACACCTAAAATCTGTTTGTTTAGCATTTTTATTCTCAAAATTTTGAGAAAAAATGAGATTTGAGTCAAAGAAACAGAAAACAAGTTTAGGTTGTTTTCAGAGTTTTCTTTAAAAATTTTGAAAATAAGGAGAACAATTTTAGACTTTAATGAGATTTGTCCTTCGAGTCTCTTTAGCAGCAAATTTCTTTTTTTACTTCTTCTTATCTCATAATATATAATATATATTATTATAAATTATAATATATTATATATTATATAATATAATAATATAATATATAATATTGTATTATAATATGTATATATATACATATATATTTAAATTATATATATATATATATATATATATATATATATATGTATATACTATATGTATATATATATATATATATATATATATACATGGATAATATAATATATTATATTATAATATACATGTATATAAATATGTATATATATATATAATGAAATTGTCAATATAAAAATAACATTTTTATTTTTATATTTTTTTATTAATGTTTGAATTACTGTTCAAATATATATTTAGGCTGTCCAAACAGGTTTTACTATTTTCTGTATTGTAAAATTGTTTTTGAAATCATCTAACCAAACAAATTTTTTATCTCAAAAAATATCAAAACCACTTTCTTAAAACTCTTCTCAAGAACTGTTTTCATATACTAATTTTTGAAACGCAAATCAAAGAGGCCCTAAAGTTTTCAAAATTTTGTAGTACTAGTGGAGGGTATGATGCTGACAAGTTGATGAGAAGGTGGGAATATAACATGGGAATAGAACACAGAACCTTCTTCCCCATTGTTACTACTAGCAGCAGCCTATATCCATCCCTGAATTATTTGATTCCATAGCTTAGATTATAATGACATGTTTTTGCTTGACCAAGGTCATACTGAAGCACAAAAAGAAGATAATTAATGGGGTTCAGAGAGTGCATCTTTTAGTTTACAATTACAGTAACTGTGATAGCTAGTCAATCTGTTCGAATATTGATTGTCATGGTTCAAAAGATCAACCGATAATACTAATGTGACTCGACACTATTTCATATTTGTCTCAGCACCTTTTGTTTAGATAATGTTCCACATTCAAAGAGAACCATGAATCTTACTCAACTTGGTTGAGTTGTACTAGACATCTTTAAGTTTACCCTGAGTCAATCAACGAATTGGCTGATACCATTCCAAGACGCCCGGACAATTGCATCTCCAAAGTCGATGACCAATACTGTGACTGTAAACCACAATCGTTTTGATCAAAAAAAAAAAAAAAAACCACAACCGTGACAATGCTTACACATGTTGTTTTAGATATCACCATCTTGATTGACAATGATAGTTCAGATTGTCTTAGAGGGACCAATATCTGGCATTTGGCTCACCAAAGCACATTATGCTGGAGAGAGAAATCATCACAGATTAATGAATCAATGCCCATGATAGATCATATAATGCCAAGTTTAAACATACCCTAATACATCATATATCTTCTCTACTGTACATATGATAACAAAATCTTGTCTTAGTGAAAGTGGGTGAAAAATTATTGATAAAAGATTTAGTTATCCTGAATTTAGTGGAAATCAGTCTGGGCTAATAAGAGGCATGCTTTGTGTGTTTGTCCATGATTTACCCTATAAGCTTTATCTGCAAATGAGCAGCTGCTGACTAAACAACATGGTATTACTTGCAAATGTCTAGTTTGCCCTTGATATCTTGCATACCTCATAAGGGAAAAAGGTTAGCAATGTAAATTCCAGAATGGGAATAGTGCGAAAAAAAAAGAATGGGAATAGTGCAGGTTGTACTAAATATTGGCATAAACTATGCTCTCTAAAGAACCATGTTCCATATAATTTGAATTAAGCTTGACCCCACTCTCTTCCACTTTAAATTCTCAGCTTTTGTATGTTTTCATGACTGCATGTTGGCTGAGAAGTCATCACATTCCGGTGGCAGTGGGGTGATTTTCAGGCCAACTCGATGAATATACCTTTCAAGTGGAGGGAACATAGGATGGTATAAAAGCAAAGGACATTTTCGAATGTCCTGTCGAGCATCGATACCTGTACATCAATTAAATTCCTTTTCCTCTCCATAAATAATGTGATTATAGGCCTCTTGAAACACTCACAAGTGACACGACTACAAGCATCATCTATTACTTCTTTCCATTTTCTCAAAGAAAACACAAATAGAGAAGATGGTGAAGTTCTCTAAGCAGTTTGAGGCTCAAATTGTTCCTGAATGGAAAGAGGCCTTTGTTGATTATTGGCAACTCAAGAAGGACCTCAAGAAAATTCATCTCCTTAGTAACGATAACTCTCCCACCACGCAACAAGAAAGCTCTTTTTCCAACACCCTCTTCTCCTCTCTGAGGAAGTTCTCTTTATTTTGCACTCAACAAAGAGAGCATGGGGTCATTCAAGTATACTAGCTCTCTTTCTATGTGTCTGTGTGTTTATTTCCCATTCCCCACACCTGAGCACACTAACATAATCTCACATATATGCATCCAAGCATATGTGCAAATTCCAGTATGCATGTATGATGTGGCATTTCGATTCTATTGTTATTGATGTATGTGTGTTTTTTTTATTTTCCGGTATTGAACAGGTTCATAAGAAAATTGCATCCTCAGGGAGCAAGGGTACTTTGTACGAGACTGAATTGCTGGAACAATTTGCTGATACTGATGCAGCCAATGAATTTTTCACATGCTTGGACCTCCAACTTAACAAAGTGAATCAATTCTACAGAACAAAAGAGAATGAGTTCCTTGAGAGAGGGGACTTATTGAAGAAACAAATGGAGATCCTCGTTGAGCTTAAAACCGCTCTAAGACAGCAGCACGGGAAAGGAGCTTCTTCCCAGGAGGATGACTCCATTTCAGGCACAATCTCATGTGGTATGCACAACTTCCTTAACTGTTACAAAAACAAATTATCTTGGAGTTTTCTCTTATCCATCCTCCGATTCAGTTGTCATCACCGAGCACATAAGGAATAGCATTTTCTCATTGGCCTTGACCCCAAGCTTAGTTCTAATACATTAGTGTCCAGTTTGCAGTAGTTTAGAACTTCAAGTAGTTTTTTTTTATGTCCAGTATCAAGGTAAAAACAACAATATTTGCCATTTTTTTCTTGAGATCCATTTTACAAGCCCCTTAAGGCAACAGAATTAATTGGCTTTAGNATGTTGGTTTCACCATCATAGGATGGCCAATTCACCTTTTTTTTTGTTGGTACTTCAAAATAGGATGACTCGGATAACGATAGTCAATATCTAAATTGAAAAAAACACAAATTTAAATACCTTATAACAAAAAAATATATATTTAACTAACTTGTTTACTAATCAATTATTCTAAATTAAATCGAATCGTGGAAAAAAAGCTCTTTTTTTATATTACAATTAAATTATTTATATTTTTCTTTTCTATTCTCCAAGATTAAAATATAAAAAGGGGTATAAATCGAGTTGGATCATTTGGATTTATATTGTATCGCGTTCTTCGTGTTACATTAATGTCAACGGTTAAAATAAGGAATCAGTAAGCAGAAGAAAGGAAGAATGAGTGGGGTAACCTGCAAGGACGCACCCAGAGAAATGCCATCCTACTCAGAGCCATGTTTTTTCATGAATTGTCATTTAATTGGTTCCAAGGATTCAAAGCCTTACATTCCGTGGCTACTTCTACTACTTCTCCTTTGTGATTGAAGTTGTACCAAACTAATTGTTTCAACAAATCAAAACCAAAAACCAATGTTTCGTAAATAATATATTTTAAAATTACTTCATTCTGACGAACATCAACATCTTTTCAAAAATTAGTAAGTTCACGCACATCTGACACTCTTTGAAAATCGTGCCATAAGTGCAACATCTTCCGTTTGTTTGGGTAAAAATGTAAGCTTTAGAATGAAGACCTCATAAGCCGGTAGGAGGGCTCCAAGAGATATTCACCCTCTAAGTTTCAATCGTGTTTTTTTCAGACAAAGTAAAAACATAGGGGAGAGGGAATAGAACTGGAGGTAAGGCATTTGAACCTAAATTTCATTTTAGGATAAACCCCAAGGACCAGACTCAGCTCTAGTCTAGGAATAAACAAAATTAGAAGTAAAACTTTGATAAGGCGATTTGGCTCATATCCTTCAGAACAAAAGGATTTTTAATATACCACTTACCCACTGTTTGGCACCATTAAAGGGTAGAGAGAGAGAGAGAGAGAAACTAATAACAATTCTACTAAACAAATTGCATTATTGTTCTTTCTTACATATACTAATCGCCTTAATATAACTAGATTGCATATCAGCTGGCAGAGACTTTCTCAAATTAGAGGGTGTTGCGTGCAGCATATCAGAGAGAGAGATGGCAAGAGAAAAGCAAAAACATATCTTTGAGGCAGCACACCTTAGGGGGGGCGCTTTCAATTTTCCACAATTGTAACATCATTGGTATGTTGCTGTCCTTGTCAAAAGAGAAGAAGAAAGGAGGGGAGACAGAACACGGCCACTAAGGCCATGTTTGGTTAGCTTTCCAGAAATTATTTTTTGTTTTTAAAATTTTAAAAACACCTAAAATCTGTTTGTTTAGCATTTTTATTCTCAAAATTTTGAGAAAAAATGAGATTTGAGTCAAAGAAACAGAAAACAAGTTTAGGTTGTTTTCAGAGTTTTCTTTAAAAATTTTGAAAATAAGGAGAACAATTTTAGACTTTAATGAGATTTGTCCTTCGAGTCTCTTTAGCAGCAAATTTCTTTTTTTACTTCTTCTTATCTCATAATATATAATATATATTATTATAAATTATAATATATTATATATTATATAATATAATAATATAATATATAATATTGTATTATAATATGTATATATATATATATTTAAATTATATATATATAATGAAATTGTCAATATAAAAATAACATTTTTATTTTTATATTTTTTTATTAATGTTTGAATTACTGTTCAAATATATATTTAGGCTGTCCAAACAGGTTTTACTATTTTCTGTATTGTAAAATTGTTTTTGAAATCATCTAACCAAACAAATTTTTTATCTCAAAAAATATCAAAACCACTTTCTTAAAACTCTTCTCAAGAACTGTTTTCAGATACTAATTTTTGAAACGCAAATCAAAGAGGCCCTAAAGTTTTCAAAATTTTGTAGTACTAGTGGAGGGTATGATGCTGACAAGTTGATGAGAAGGTGGGAATATAACATGGGAATAGAACACAGAACCTTCTTCCCCATTGTTACTACTAGCAGCAGCCTATATCCATCCCTGAATTATTTGATTCCATAGCTTAGATTATAATGACATGTTTTTGCTTGACCAAGGTCATACTGAAGCACAAAAAGAAGATAATTAATGGGGTTCAGAGAGTGCATCTTTTAGTTTACAATTACAGTAACTGTGATAGCTAGTCAATCTGTTCGAATATTGATTGTCATGGTTCAAAAGATCAACCGATAATACTAATGTGACTCGACACTATGTCATATTTGTCTCAGCACCTTTTGTTTAGATAATGTTCCACATTCAAAGAGAACCATGAATCTTACTCAACTTGGTTGAGTCGTACTAGACATCTTTAAGTTTACCCTGAGTCAATCAACGAATTGGCTGATACCATTCCAAGACGCCCGGACAATTGCATCTCCAAAGTCGATGACCAATACTGTGACTTTAAACCACAATCGTTTTGATCAAAAAAAAAAAAAAAAACCACAACCGTGACAATGCTTACACATGTTGTTTTAGATATCACCATCTTGATTGACAATGATAGTTCAGATTGTCTTAGAGGGACCAATATCTGGCATTTGGCTCACCAAAGCACATTATGCTGGAGAGAGAAATCATCACAGATTAATGAATCAATGCCCATGATAGATCATATAATGCCAAGTTTAAACATACCCTAATACATCATATATCTTCTCTACTGTACATATGATAACAAAATCTTGTCTTAGTGAAAGTGGGTGAAAAATTATTGATAAAAGATTTAGTTATCCTGAATTTAGTGGAAATCAGTCTGGGCTAATAAGAGGCATGCTTTGTGTGTTTGTCCATGATTTACCCTATAAGCTTTATCTGCAAATGAGCAGCTGCTGACTAAACAACATGGTATTACTTGCAAATGTCTAGTTTGCCCTTGATATCTTGCATACCTCATAAGGGAAAAAGGTTAGCAATGTAAATTCCAGAATGGGAATAGTGCGAAAAAAAAAGAATGGGAATAGTGCAGGTTGTACTAAATATTGGCATAAACTATGCTCTCTAAAGAACCATGTTCCATATAATTTAAATTAAGCTTGACCCCACTCTCTTCCACTTTAAATTCTCAGCTTTTGTATGTTTTCATGACTGCATGTTGGCTGAGAAGTCATCACATTCCGGTGGCAGTGGGGTGATTTTCAGGCCAACTCGATGAATATGCCTTTCAAGTGGAGGGAACATAGGATGGTATAAAAGCAAAGGACATTTTCGAATGTCCTGTCGAGCATCGATACCTGTACATCAATTAAATTCCTTTTCCTCTCCATAAATAATGTGATTATAGGCCTCTTGAAACACTCACAAGTGACACGACTACAAGCATCATCTATTACTTCTTTCCATTTTCTCAAAGAAAACACAAATAGAGAAGATGGTGAAGTTCTCTAAGCAGTTTGAGGCTCAAATTGTTCCTGAATGGAAAGAGGCCTTTGTTGATTATTGGCAACTCAAGAAGGACCTCAAGAAAATTCATCTCCTTAGTAACGATAACTCTCCCACCACGCAACAAGAAAGCTCTTTTTCCAACACCCTCTTCTCCTCTCTGAGGAAGTTCTCTTTATTTTGCACTCAACAAAGAGAGCATGGGGTCATTCAAGTATACTAGCTCTCTTTCTATGTGTCTGTGTGTTTATTTCCCATTCCCCACACCTGAGCACACTAACATAATCTCACATATATGCATCCAAGCATATGTGCAAATTCCAGTATGCATGTATGATGTGGCATTTCGATTCTATTGTTATTGATGTATGTGTGTTTTTTTTATTTTCCGGTATTGAACAGGTTCATAAGAAAATTGCATCCTCAGGGAGCAAGGGTACTTTGTACGAGACTGAATTGCTGGAACAATTTGCTGATACTGATGCAGCCAATGAATTTTTCACATGCTTGGACCTCCAACTTAACAAAGTGAATCAATTCTACAGAACAAAAGAGAATGAGTTCCTTGAGAGAGGGGACTTATTGAAGAAACAAATGGAGATCCTCGTTGAGCTTAAAACCGCTCTAAGACAGCAGCACGGGAAAGGAGCTTCTTCCCAGGAGGATGACTCCATTTCAGGCACAATCTCATGTGGTATGCACAACTTCCTTAACTGTTACAAAAACAAATTATCTTGGAGTTTTCTCTTATCCATCCTCCGATTCAGTTGTCATCACCGAGCACATAAGGAATAGCATTTTCTCATTGGCCTTGACCCCAAGCTTAGTTCTAATACATTAGTGTCCAGTTTGCAGTAGTTTAGAACTTCAAGTAGTTTTTTTTTATGTCCAGTATCAAGGTAAAAACAACAATATTTGCCATTTTTTTCTTGAGATCCATTTTACAAGCCCCTTAAGGCAACAGAATTAATTGGCTTTAGATGGAAGTTAAAATTGATAATTTAATACCACATTTTTTTTTTTTTTTTTTTTTGGGGGGGTTGGTAAAAGAAAAAAAAGGAGAAGAGAAGATTTATCATGAAATGAAATTGGTTTCCTAAGCCAAGATCATGTTTATTAGCCTGTCATGTTTTTGTACAAATTGATCATTTTTCATCAAATTGAGCATCTCCTTTTATTGTTTTGGCCACAGATGAAGAGTCTCCTAGGGCCATAACAGAGCAAGAATTGGAGCAGGACAACACAACAGTTGAATCTTGCAAAAATGATGCACAATTCACAGACTCCCTAAAATCAGATGAGATGGAAAAATCAATGAGGATGAAAAGGGAAGATGGAAAATCCAGAACTTTTTCAGGTCGTGTTATCAATTGCCAAGGGAAAAACTTGAGAATACATATTCCTCTGACAAACCCAACTCGTACGTTTTCAGCAATCACTTATTTACTCTGGGATGATTTGGTCAATCAGTCCTCGAAGAAATTAGGTCCGGAAGGAAGTAAGCTGCACATCAACAGAACAAAGCTACACCATGCTGAGAAGATGATTAGAGGAGCCTTCATTGAGCTCTATAAAGGATTAGGTTATCTCAAAACTTACAGGTATGATCTTTGAAGCTATATTTTCTTGGGACTTCATTTTACTGCCATAGTATCAAAAATATTACATTTTGTCTATGGGTGACAATGACTTTCAGGAACTTGAACATGCTTGCTTTTGTTAAGATTTTGAAGAAATTCGACAAAGTAAGCAATGATGTTACTTTCAATTTGTATGAATTCTCGTCTTCTTTTTTTTCCCGGCTGACCACTTAATTTTATTGGCTACTTTTCAGGCCACGAAAAAAGAAGTTCTTCCTATTTATCTAAAAGTTGTTGAGAGCTCCTACTTCAACAGCTCAGACAAGGTAAATCATTGAAGTTGTAACTTGTATGACCAAGTAAAATATCTACTGCCTATGAGCATATAGCCATGATAGGGAAAAAGTTTAAAGGATATTGTGGTTGGAAGATGATAGGGTGTGGGGTACCGGCTATCCCATTATTAGATATATTATTCTTAGACAGTGTTTAGTGGCCATCAACCAGTGAAGTGCAAGTCCACACAAGCAATGGCCTTAGATTTGAATGGATCAAACTAAGATATGCTTGTCTGAAACTGCATTGGAGTTTTACTTTGTAGTGACAGTTAAAAAATTTTAGTTTCATGAATCACAGGTTATGAAGTTAGCAGATGAGGTTGAGGAGATTTTTGTTAGACATTTTGCTGAAGATGATCGAAGGAAGGCGATGAAATACCTTAAACCAATTCAGCATAAAGAATCACACTGTGTCACTTTCTTTATTGGTAAGTTTCTTCCCAATTATTCTAATTATTGGGAACAAGATTTTCAAGATGACATACAATATTTATTTCTTTTTGACTCATTTACTTTAGTGGAGATTTATGACCTATTCTGCACTTTCTGACCATAATACATAAAGGAAGGGAAAAAGATAACAAAAATGGGCCCATTAGGAAACCAGACCTTGAATAACAAGCGTACAAGGTCCACTTCTTGGAGGTGGATGATAAAGCAAAGCGCCTATTCTAAGACCATTATGAAGTGAGTGAAAACTTTGAACCAACAAGAATTAAACCTTGAAGGGCCCGTTAACCACTTAAAGGTAGCTCTTCTTAGTTTATGTAGTGTTACCAAGCTATGTAGCTTGAGTGCTTCCTTACATGAGAGAAATAACTCAAGCCAGCTATGTAAGACACACGTCGGACACCAACAAAACATGTATCCTTGTAAGAAACACTCAATTATGATATGCCATGCATGGAGTGTGCACTAGGACCTCCTATATGATATGACAAACAACTAAGAAAATAATTGTGCATCGTCGGGTTCTTTGAGCATCTGCTAATACATATAATGAAAGAAACTACTCGAAATTAAAGCATTGCCGTTTAATCTAAAAACTACATGTTGGTTGGTCACCCCAAGGGAAAATACCTGATCCTTATAACTAAAACAGCATAAAAATTACACTAACCTGTTTTCTATTCTGATCTTCAGGGCTATTCACTGGGTGTTTCCTTGCTCTTTTTGTTGGATACATCATCATGGCTCATATTTCAGGGATGTATAGACCACAATCCGATATAATCTACATGGAAACAGTTTACCCTATGCTTAGGCAAGTGCCCAATTTTCATATGATTAAGAGTTTGTCCAGTACAGACTTGCTGAGAGTTAAGTTTTACAGTCCACTGATGGAGGATTTCTGATGTGCAGCATGTTCAGCCTACTGTTTCTGCACTTCTTTTTGTACGGATGCAACATTTTCATGTGGAGGAAGACTCGTATAAATTATAGCTTCATTTTTGAGTTGTCCCCAACAAAAGATCTTAAATTCAGAGATGTTTTCTTGATATGTACCATGTCAATGACTGCTGTAATTGGGGTGTTATTTGTTCATCTGTCCCTTGTGGCAAAGGGACATTCTTGTAAACAAGTTCAACCAATTCCTGGCCTCCTGTTACTGGTAATTGGTTTTATCTTAGAGCTCATCTTCATACACATAGTTCATAGACCACCATTCAGTTCAATTACCATCTAACATTTGATCATTTAATTGAATTGCCTCTTAACCAAAGTTGGAACTCTTGTCCCCACAGGCTTTCTTATTATTGCTTGTGTGCCCCTTCAACATAGTCTACAAATCAAGCCGGTACTGTTTTCTTCGTGTGATAAGGAATATCATCTTTTCACCTCTCTACAAGGTACCAACCCTACTGCTACTTTCTGACATTATTTTTGGTCAAAACTTGCTGTCATTCAGACAAAGGCTGATATGGCAGTTATGAAGTAGTAGGAAACAATATTGGCATTTGTAGTCGAAATAAAAGGAGAGTTATAAGAAAGTCCAATAACTAATTTATCTTGTGATTTATTGCCTCTGTAGGTTGTTATGCTGGACTTCTTCATGGCTGATCAACTTTGTAGCCAGGTAAATTAAAGCACAAATAAAATGAACTTCATTGAAAGCCACAATAAAATCTGAATTGCTGATTAAATGCCTTGAAGTATTTTGTGCTCCAACTCTGCTACAATCTGACCACCTTATTGTCAAGCAGGTACCAATGCTCAGGAACCTTGAGTACATAGCATGCTACTACATAACCGGAAGCTTTAAAACTCAGGATTATGGATACTGCATGAGAAACAAAAATTTCCGGGATCTTGCTTACGCGGTTTCCTTCCTACCTTATTACTGGAGGGCTATGCAGGTTTACCAAAAAGCTTTATGATTAAAATAATTTCTCATACTGCAAATCCAATTGGTAATTGTTCCAAAGCAAACTATACTGATTAAACTCTGCTTAATTGGGCCTGCAGTGTGCTCGACGTTGGTTTGATGAAGGACACTCAAGCCACCTGGTCAATCTAGGCAAATATGTGTCTGCAATGTTGGCCGCAGGAGCCAAAGTGGCCTATGAGAAAGAAAGTGATGTTGGATGGCTTTGTTTAACCGTTGTCATGTCGAGTGCTGCAACAGTTTATCAATTGTATTGGGACTTTGTAAAGGATTGGGGTTTGCTTCAGTTTCATTCCAAGAACCCCTGGTTAAGGAATGAATTAATGCTACGTCAGAAGTTCATTTACTACTTCTCTATGGTATATGCAATGCTCCTCTCTCTCTCCCTCTCTCTCTCTCTCTCACAATTACAGGGAGACAAGTTAAAGCTTCAACTGGTACTTGTGTTTGTCAGTCAGCAGTAGTGAAGCGAAAAAGCCACCTCCCACATCTCAGCAACTACCAACTGATTTTATAAAAAAAATCAGTTTGAATTTAAGAAATAGATTGATGAAGCTGTTTAGTCATATTTAATCTGGTGCATTGGATCGCCAAATGAATTTTGCAACTAATTTGAAGTTTTTTTTCCCCTTTACATCCTGATCTTGAACAAAAATATGGTACCATTTGCAGGGGTTGAACCTTATTCTTAGGCTTGTTTGGTTGCAAATTGTTATCCACCCCAGTTTAAGAGGCGTCGATTCCAGAGTAACAGGGCTACTTTTAGCAGCCCTTGAAGTCATTAGAAGAGGCCAATGGAATTTTTACAGGTATGTAACAGCCCATACCGACATGCAGACAATACTGTACAATACGAGTTCGAACATTATAACTCACATCTCTCATCAAGTGTTGCTCTAATGGACAATCTTTTCAATGGCGCAGGTTGGAGAATGAGCATCTAAATAATGCTGGCAAGTTTAGAGCTGTGAAGACAGTGCCACTTCCTTTTCATGAAGTGGATGAGGAAGACTGATTCCCATTGGCAGATGATAAAGGAATAGAATTTTGGATATCTATTACAGAAGCAGCTCAATTCCTAAGGTTCCAAATGGACCTTATTGCCACTGTACAAGTGGATGAACACATGATGTTAATCATTTTATCAATGATCAGCTCAGTTCTGGAAAGTAGTTCATACATGTATACAAAAATTTCCTTCACAATTCTAAGGGAAGTCATGCTCTTTTTGCACTGATATCTTGTAAATGTATTTCGATCTCCCTCAATATACTCTTTTAATTTTCGCCAATCATCTCTCACTGTCCATGAATTTAGTGACACCCATAATATATAAAAGGTGTGGTTGGATAATGAGGTCGGATAGGATATGATTTCTTTTTTTATATCTAAATTCATCCAAACCAAACTCACTCACCCACTTTAAAATCCTAACCTTGGAATATATTCAATCTCAATTCTTGTTTGGAAAACAAATGTATAATTCAGTGGGATTCATAGGTTATACAAATAATTTTGTAGTAGTTTATCATTCTACCCATGACTCTATTCATTCTAATCCAAACCAATCTTATCCTACTAATAAAATTATACATTTTTCACATATACATACAAATATATAAAAATAAAATAATAATTTTTATTTGTTAGAAAAGCAAAAGACAATCAAAAAACAAATGTCGGAAGGTCAAAATATAATTTATTAACATAATTTATTAA